TGCCAAATGACCCTGGGCATGATGAGGACCCATGCTTGTATCGCACACAGTGACAAGGTCTGCAGCTGTAGCAGGGCTAAGATGCAGTCAGGGCCTCAACTCAGTCAAAAGGCTGATACACAAATTCTGCAGAAGGTTTTATCCCATCCTGAGGCTTCTCTTACTGGTAGCATCATGTCAGTGTTGCTATTTGTATGTTGGCTTTGCACTGAGGAATGCACCAGTGACAGAGGTGGGAGTTTGTGACTGTCTCAAACATCAAACAGTTTTTATTTTCTGTCCCATCGTCTCCAGTTTTCCCCTTCCTTTCCAAGTGGCCTTGGCCCTGATTTGAACTACCAGTATTCCTGATGTGACCTTGTGCCACCTCAGACAGTGGCCAGGTTCCTGTGCTTTCTCTAGATATTGGACCTCCTACTGCTGCCATCAGAGACAGCATACTGGGTGAGACAGACCACTGGTCTGACTTACTGTTACATTCCTTATGTTCTGTGGTGGCAGCTGGCGAAGGCAAAATTTCTTTTATCTCAGTTGCTTTCGATCTATAGAGTTTTTTGTTGTCATTCTGGCCAAAAGCATTAGCTTTTTCCCAAAAATGCCATCCTTCCATTGTTGAGAAGCTGAATGTATCAAACCCATGGGACTTCAGCTGAAAAACTGAGTTTTAAAGTCACTACGGTCCTCACAGGCAGTGTGATTTAGGTGCTTTCTGCTCCCCAGACACTACAGGCTGATATAGGCTGTTGGCTGAGTTCTCCCCTCAGCCAGCATCGCTCACAGGACACCTCACCAACCCACCCTGGAGATGCAGTCCCAAGCAGGAACCTCAGTTCAGAGAGGAGAATGGGAATGGAAGTCACATGAGCTACATCACTTAGGAACACTGCAGATCTGAAACATGTCAGATTAAGTTGAGAGTGCTCTGCTTTTTCACCCCAAACAACCTGATCATTCCTGCAAAAACATCCTGTACACTTCCCCTCTACTCTTTTGACCGCAGTGCACTTTCTGCCAGAAGCAAAGGACCACTACCTAGTCTGGTTTACTCTCTTGAATAATCTACTCCCTGTATTTGAGGAGCTACACTGTTGGCCTTTGTTGTATCTCCAAGTGGTACTTTGCATTCCATGCTGATGCCTTTCGAAGCAGCAAGGGCAAGGACTCACTTCTCCGGATTGCCCTTCAGATAGAAGGATCCAAAACACTTTGGGGGGGGGGGGAAGGGGGGGCAACGTTGTGGGGGGGGGGGGAAGGGGGCGATATGGGTGGCTACACTTTGCCTGCATGAGAAGACTTAGTTTTTAATGGATAGTGCTTGCCTGCTTGAACTTCAACTATGGAGTACAGCACAGCTATGTGTTGTTCCCCAGTGTACTCCTGCATGGTCAGAGAAATAGTCTCTACAGAGATAAGAGTCAGTCAGGTTAATCTCTAGGCTTTTTTGTGCTGAAGGCTGCTATGGTGATTGTTATTCATGGTTACTGTTGGTGTGGCCTGTTTTTTCTCTTCATCCATCATCCTAGGAAAAGGAAACTCAATCCGCTGTCATAAGTGCTAGATCTTCTCTTGACTCACATAGGCTGTTCAGCAAGTGCATGACCTTCACTCCTTCTTCCCCACCAGCCTGTCCTATCTCAGTAGTCATTCTACTCCATGTCTCAGCTCTGTTTTTCTTGGCTTAGCTGGGGTGTCTCCTCTGGAAGACGTGCCAGGAGGCTCAATACAGAATTCACAACCTGGTTGTTTGACTGGTTCTTGAGAAGCAGTCCTAAAACTGACAGTGTCCTGAACACTTGCAGGGTTAAATAATTGTGGTTTTGAGAGCTTTGGGGTGAGTCAGTGGAAAAAACTGGCAGCTTTAGGAAGGCTAAGACTGACTCATAGCGCAAGAAGAGCCTGAGGAGCTCCCAATCCAGCTGCAGTGTAGGCAGGGGGATGAACAGGCATTTGCATGTAGTGTCCTCTCGCTCCAGCAATGCGACCCCACCCTGTAGCGGAGAAAGATGTCTCACATTTAACAAATGGAAAGAGTATCCAGTCAGTCACAAACGATCTGCCAGATTCTCTGTCTAATGGGAGGAAAAGTCCATGCCGTACCGTCAGAGACAGAAATGACTCTATTTCAATGCCGTTCGTTCGTTCACCCACTGCTCCTTTGGGATTGTTCTCTAGCGTTTTATTTAAAAGGCAGGCAGAGATGAAGAAAGGGGAAAGCGAATGAATAGAGAGGGAGGCTTGTGCTTTAACTCACAAAGAATCAAACTAAGCTGTGAGCACATACCCCCAGGGGAGTTCGCATTTGATAGCATGTGTATTCGGGGAGAGGTGCTGACGTTCTGGGGAAGCAGGAGAACTGAAAGCACCTGAACTAACAGTGCTCTCAAGCAGTGCGAGAACGGGGCAGAAAAAGCAAAGAGAATAAAGGACCTGGGTTTTTTTCTCAGCATATTGGTCAAAGTTCTGGGTATGGGTTCTTTTCTTCACATTGAAAAGTAACATTTATCACTCATTTTTATTTCTGAATGCAAACAAAAGATGCATTTAAAAGGACTGTTCTAGTCCTTTAAGATGTCGTAAAAGTAGGTTTTTGGTCTTTCAAACACAGGGCTTTTTTGAAGGTCCTCAAAAATAATTGGTAAAAAACCTGCTGAATTCATTTTTAAAGAGGCCATGGAAAAATACATCCACCTAAGAAAGAAGAAAGTTTAGCCACTGTTCATTAGAGGCAAATTTCAGAGCAGGCAAATTTGCCACAATTTGGTGTATGCATACCAAGACACTATGATGGCAAGAGCACTCATTACAGTTTTTTGTAAGAACCAAGGTAATCAGAAAAAAGGATGACAAGCAGTCAAAGGGATGAGAAGATTTGACTCAGAGGCTCTGTTCAAGGCACCTGCTGCAGACATGTCACTGAGTCATGGCAACAGCAATAGTTTCTCAGCTGAAGGTATAGCAGCAATGTCCGTATCAGCTGCCATCTAGCATTTTGACACCCTTGTTCCTTTTGCAGTCAGTGGAAAGAAGGGGAAGGGTCTAACGCTCAGGTCAGGTGTGTTCATGTGGTAGCCTGCATATAGTACTGAGAACCTGGATATTAGCAATGCTGAACACACAAATTACTGTCACTACAGTCAGAGGGGAACTCCTAAGAAGGCTGTATTTTCTCCAAGGTCAGCACTAAGGGAGGTACTGTGACAAGAGAGGGAACAGTGTCCAAGCCATCCAGGCAAATCAAGCCCTAGAGCATGAGGAGTTTGCTAGGACACCGCAAAACAGACAAGCAAGCCCAGCCCATGTTCATCAAGCCAGGGCTTAACAAGTCCAGAGAGTTCTCCCAGGTGAAGGAAACCTCACAGCAGACGAGTTCTTGATGAGGAGACAGGACCAGTCACCAAACCTAATCTGTCCTTCTAAGGAGTGACCTCGTTTGGGTGGGAGGAGTGCCCTAACACAGCTGGTTCCTTGAGATCCTGAACTCAAGGAATTCTTCCTGGTCATCAGCTGATGCTGAACTGGACAAAGAATCACTGATGGAGAAGTCTGCCTGCCCACTGTGGTTTGGGAAACTGTCCAAAGCAGTGCAAGGAAGCTGCAGCACTTTACAGGAATACACTCTTACACATGGCCACAATGAGATGAAAGACAGGAGTGGAGAAGGTGGAGTCATTGAGTAAAAAGAACCACATTTATGGGAGCTTACAAAGCCTTTTGTTACAATTTGTGTGAAAGATGTAATGAAGTGTAACTGTGTTGTTCCATGACAATGTTACCACACCCTGTGCAAAGGGTGACAACATCAAACCTTACCTGAGTCACCTGGACCAAAATAACTTGACAGCCAACATTAATTACATACTTGATACTGCTCTTCATTACCACTTCAGTACCAGCACTAGCAAGAAAAAGATCAACACAGCCCTGTGAAACTTTTTAGGAAGCCATCTTTCACTGACCACAGAATGGACCCACTAAACTCTTCTGCCTGATTCCTGTGGGTGTACTGCACTATTACTAATAAATGCCTGGAAGGAGGGGAAATATGCTCGCTCACTCTGTGTGAACTGTCTGCACTCCCTCTCACAGCTTAGATTTGTTGCTTGCATTTTACCTTTTCAGGGGAGAATTCAGCAGCCTTGATGAACAATGTCATGAGAGTTATCGAAAGCACATTCCCCTCCCTTACCATTCACGTGTTCATCAATGACAGGGAATCTGACAAAAAGTAAAAGCCTGCAGGGTGCAGAGGCAAAAAAAACCCAAAACACACTGAAGAGGAACTTGCATTACAAGAGAATCTTATTGCAGTAATAAAGTGATCTGCATGCCTCAAGCTTTGAAAGGGAAACAGGCAGTTTTCATTGCAAACCTAAGCATCTTCCTCTGCTCAAGAACACCTCAATGGCATTTCTGTTCTGGTTATTCTTCTCTTCACACAGTGGAGAGGGCCATTGAGCAGGGGTAGCCCCCCAGATCCCTCCACTGCTGCTCAACACCTGATGCACCCAGGAACACACCGTCCTCCACTCCACACCACTTGTCCGTGTCCCAGACCAGCTTGAGGAGGCTGTACAGGAAAGGGAGAACAGGAAGAGAAAATCTTTCCTGACCTCTGTGAATCCTGTGGGCAAAACCTCCTCTTCCTGGAGTGTATGCCTGGCGTATGTCATTTTTACTTTACATGACTAGACACCAATTTAAGCAACCTGTGTATATACTCAGGCTATTTCTAAAATACCCCCAAGCTAACTACCCCTGCTCCTCCCAAACTGGTTCCTTTAACCTCATGAGCAACTAATGCCCTTGCAGATTTTGACAAAGGTTTTAGCAATGTTTTTTTGTGACTACATGCTTCCAGAATGGATTAAAGATCAACCTGTTTTCTCACATGTAAATAAAGCTTATTCTTTGATTCAGCCCTTCCCTTCACCTCCTCCCTCTGTTCTTGTTCTCCTCCAGAGCTCTCTGTACCGGTAACAGCACCCAGAAAAGGACCCAAGATGTTGGTGCTACTGGCTGGTATCTTCGTGGTTCACATCGCCACTGTCATCATGCTCTTCGTCTCCACCATTGCCAACGTAAGTAGCGACCACCCTGGATGAGACATGGCTGTTGCCTTCTGCAGTGGCAGCCAGCCCTTCACACGGCTGGCAGGCAGACAGGCGGGTGGATGCTCAGGTCTACAGGTGAGGGACACCCGCTCACGGCCATGAGTAAATATGAAGCAGTGACGGGTGTGCTCAGGGAGCAGAAATGCAGCCAGGGTGGTACAAGAGGCAGCCTCTGCTCCCAAACCCCAGAGCCAGCAGCACCCAGGCACTCTTCCTCCAAGAAAGCCCAACAAGTCTCCCGTTCCCGTGCCCCCCGCACCCTGGTGGGGCAGGTTTCGGGGGCCTCTCGCACCAGCTCGCCCCCCTGCACCCTCCTGCCGCCTCACATGGGGAGAGGGAGAGGATGGGCTGAGCCGTTTCCCCCGATCGAGCGGGGTTCCCGGGTGTTTTGCCCGGACCAAGCAGCTCCTGGCTTTGGGAGCCTGCGCCGCCTCCCACCCGCCTCGGTTGTTCCTCTGCGGTCCGCACACGCTGACTTTCTCAGCTCTCTGCCTCGAGGCACTTGGGCTGCTGTTGCTCCCCTTCCACTTTCATCTGACAACTGGGCCAGAAGTGCGAGGAAGCCTCCCTCCCCCTTGACAAAACCGCTTCATCCTGTTTCAGGTTTGGATGGTGGGTACTTCCAGCTTCGGAACGGCCTCATCGGGACTCTGGCTACTGTGCAACAGGACCTGCGAGCAGCTGTCAGTCAGCAGCGATGACGAGGGTAAGTTACATCCGCAGTTTTGCTGCGGTGATGAATTGCAGGACGTTGGTGCACAATACCGAGGCTGAGTCCTGACCTTCTCAAATCTGTTCCCGGTGTGTTCACAGCTTACCTCAAAGCCATGCAGGCCTTTATGATCCTCGCGATCATTTTCTCCGTCATCGCGCTTGTCATGTTCATTGTCCAGCTGTTCACCCTGGAGAAAGGCAAACGTTTCTATGTGACTGGAGCCGTCATGCTGGTTTGCTGTAAGTACTCACGCTCTGCTATGGCTCTGCATGCGTCCCACCGCCTCTGCAAGCGCAAGTAGCCGCACATATCTTCCACATACGGCTATTGGAGGAGCTTGTCAACCAGCTAAGAGTTTCAAGTGACCAATTTTTTTGGTATAACAAAGCACTGAGGAACTGGAAAGCTGGTTTGTTTTTTACTGTATATGATCAAAATGTTTCCATATTTTCATTAGAAAACCCCAGTGGGTTTGACAAAATACCTTTGAAAGACAACAGAAAGGATTCAAGTATTTTGGGGGGCAGGGGAATAAACAGGTACTGCTCGTGGGATTCAACATGCAGCACCAAACTGTCTGCAGATCTTATTACTGATTTCCTCCTAGCAAAGGTTTATTCCCCATAGCACTCACTGAACAAGCCCCAAGTGTCTTATGTCATCACTTCTGCAAAAGAAAGCCTCTGTAAATAAGCCTAATGGGCATCAGCCCCCCTCTCGTATGGCACAAGACATGCATTGTGATCTCAGGGGACAATGGCACTTCCAAAGTCCTGCAGTAATGCTGCTTTCTGTGTGTTTTCCAACTCTCTTTTTCCCCCTTCCTTCCCACAGGGCTGTGCATTCTGATTGGAGTCTCCATTTACACAGCTCGGTTCACAGACATGTTCGAGACCACAAATTCTCACCACGGCTACTGCTTCATATTGGCCTGGATCTGCTTTTGCTTCAGTTTCATCATCGGCATCCTCTACCTTGTTCTTAGGAAAAAATAAGGCTGATGAGAGTCCAGGGGAGAGGGCTGGCTACTGGGAATGGGGAAGAATTGCTCTGCTGAGAGAACTGTTGGGCCACTAGCAAAAGATGGAAATGGCCACCATCATCACCACTGCCACCACCACAGAAAAATCACTAACAAAGAATCCTCATAAACTCCTTCACCAAAGAGAGGTAGAAACAGCTCCAAGTCATCTAGCACCCCTGGGGCTGTTGCACCGGAAATCTGCAGGTGGCTCAGATGGCTGTTCTCCTTTTCTGCAAAGTTATGTCATACTTTCACAAAGCTTCAAGCTCAGCAGTGATGATTGAAGGGCACCACAAAAACAAGGGCTACATCTTTTTCCCTTTCTAGAGCCCTTCTCAGTTATCTTTTGGTGTGCCTTGTGGGTTGGGCAGTGAGGCTTATGACCCCTTTTATTGTCCATTGAAACAAATGGGATGGGCCTTTTGTTACATTTTTTTATATATATGCATATATGTGAAAGTTAAAGACATTAAATTGAGAAGCAACCCAATAGAAATCAGATTAAATTAATATTAATAATATCTACAGAAAGAAGGCAGCAATATCTTTTGCTGCGCTGTTTACTATTTGACATTCCCATGGTTGAATCAGATTCAGGTAGGAAGGGCAAATATACAGGTGTGGATGATGGAGAGAGAGAGAGAGAGAGAGAAAGCATAGGGGTGAAGGTACACAGGGGGTCCTAGTTACAGAGGATGCACTTTCTCAATGATGCACATGCAGGGAGGGAATAATTTGGGGTGTATCTACACTAAAATCTTCCGTTCAGCTCCAGAACATGGTAACAGCACTGCAACATTCCAGGTCTTTACCGAGACAAGTCCTTATCTGTAGGTAGGTTTTTTTTTCTCACATTGTCACCCAGGACATGGTATTAACTGAGAGCCCCACCTTGTAACACAACTCTTCTCAAAGGCAGATGATACTGGTTGGTAGAGGAAATGTATTCCCTAATGAGAGATTTGGAGAGATCAGGCAGGTCTTGTGAGTTCTGCTCCTTGCTGCACAACCTTAGGCCAGTCACCTAACCTGGTGCTTTTCCATCTGCCAAATTCTTCCACAAAACTATACCTACCTCCCAGGGTTGCTGAGAGGTTTTGAGTCTGCTCTGTAATACAAGGTCTCCATGTGAGAGACTGGCATGGGCAAGTAAGGCATTGGTACTGCTGCAACCCACAGATTTCTGTCAGTTCGAAGAATCTCAGTCACAAGTGGCATTTATAAGGGACAAGAGGTCAAAACTTTCTGTGACTCCGTTCACAGCTAAAAGGCAGAGAGTATAAGAAAAACCATGCAGCTGCAGATTGTACATGGAGGCTGTTTACCTCTCTCTCTCTCTCTTTCTGTTACATTTTCTTGTTACGTAGACTTCATCAGTTTGGTGGATATATTCTAGTACTGTATGTTGCTGTTTCATTAACAAAGGTTATTTCATATATAGTCATTGTAAATATTTTGAAATGCATATTTTTAACTTTGAGGGTATAAAAATAAAATCTGATTCCCTTTATTATAAAGAGTTTTGCTTTGGTGTTTTTTTCATTGTGTTTCAGACAGTTGTTAAAAGAAGCATTTGCTGTTCCCACTGAATCAAATGTCACTCCTTAAAAATGATGCAGAACTATCATGTACTCTTGTCAGTGTATGAGATTTCTCATTTTGGAGGGGAAGAGGAAGCAGAACAACTCTCAGAGCTTCTGTTTCAGGCTCTCTGCAACCTCAAGCTGATAGTGTGAGCAATGGTAACACTCAGTCCTAGAGCCAGGCTTTGCTTTGCACCCAGGAGATTCACACTTAGAAGAGTCTCATCTCTGTGGAAGCTGGTGCCTAAGATGCTGCAGGATTTGTTATGTCTTAGACCAACCCTCGGCACAAGTGAGTCCCAAAGCAAAATCACCGAGGTGTTTGCCTGTGTCACTTGACTTGGTATAGTGGTTGCCTCCTTAGATTTGTCTGGCCAAACACCTCAGCAGTTCTAGAGCTTGAGAAAAGACTCCAAAGCCCAGGACACAGGCAGGTCTCAGCAAAGTTGGGGCACAATTCTGTGAGCTGTGAGGTGTCGTAAAGCCTAGCGGGAATCAGCTGCGTAAGAAATTTTTCTTTATCAATGAAGCCACCTTCAGGAGAGCTAAGACACATGCTAATCGAGGGCAGAACCATGGCATGAATCTTTAAGAGCTGAAGTTTCACCAGAGAAGGACCGTATACACAGGAGAGTGTGGGAAGGCTCAGTGTGTGAAGTGTGGAGACTTGTCTCGGTCCCAGGAGGTCCCAGCAATCCTGCTGTCCTCCTGGCACTCTGAGAGGTGCAGGGTAACCAAAGACCTGTCAGGCACTGGGGGACGAGGCGTCTCTGGCTTCAAGCTAATACTGGCAGCTGAGACATGAGCTAGTGGCTGAGGTGGAAATACTGGGGGATGCTACCCAGGAAGCTTTGCAGGAGCACATCCACTGCTTGGCTGGTGTCTGTGCTGTGTTTCTAGCATGGCACAGATCACAAGTGACAATATGATACCTTACAGGCTAATAAAACAATCCCAACTTTGTTGGGGTGCCCAGGACAGGTCACCTGCAATGCTCTCAGTTTTTGAATAACAGTCTCCAGCAACCTTTGCTTCACCACAAACTCTTGTCATTCACAGCTAAGCAAGGATATAAAGGCTACTGGACACTCTGGGCAGCTTGGTTTGCCTGAAAAAATGCTTAGGCTTTTAAAGGAACTGTGCCCTAATCTACAGTTGGGAAAAATCACTGGGTCCTCTGGCATCTGGCAACTCTAGTCAATGCAGTGGCTGAAGCATAGCCCATGCCAAATGAGACAGTCTTTCCTCCACACCTGGTAGCTCCCACCACCATCTAATGAGTCCTGTTACATTAGGGACTCGCAAGCAGGGAATTACAACAGGCACTGGCAGGACAGAACACACCAAACAGAAAAGCAGATGCCAGCAAAGACAAATCAATTACAAAACAGAAGGAAGCAGAAAAGAATAGGAGCAAATGGCACTACTGGTCATGTCATATGACAGGAGTTTGCTCAAAGACCATCTTCCACATAGTGTGAAAGGACACAGACCCAGTGCCACGCAGACTTCTGAGACAGAAAGTCATGGTACTCCTGCAAGAGCCATTACAGGGATTTCAGGGATCAGGTCTCACAAGGGCCAAGACCAAAACTGACCCAGACTACCTCAGGGACAAATCACAGCAGAGTCCTCGCACTGGATGAGAACCCTTTGTGAGGGGAGAAGCAGAGAAACAAAACAATTCCCATGCCTGAGACTCCACTGCAGAGCAAAGGAAGGATTCCCCCTCCCTGGTCCTTTTTCTGCAGGTCACAGTGCAAAGAGGAAGGGATTTTTCGTAGACAAACAACTGACCAATTCAGGTAAATTTACTAGAGTAAATCAGCCAGACCAGATAAATGATCCACAAGCTAGTGCTGATTAAAATCACCCCAGGAGCTAGCAGAGGCCATACACAGGGACAGCCCTGCCAGACCTGACTTTTCTGAGAATTCCTAAGGAATGAACACAAACAGAAGATCTCCAAACAGGAGGTGCTTGGTATAAGGAGTCCTTGACAGCACAGACCATTTTGTTAGCCATACTAGGAGGAACAGATAAAGGCTATTTCCATACTCACTACAAGGTAAGGAGAGCAGAGAACTACAGGAAGAGCTAAAAATGAGGGGCAGCCAGGGGGGCAAGAGCAAGAGATACTCTTGCTCTGACCCGTGAGTCAGGCTATGCAGGCTGGGAAGAAGCAGTCCAATAACTGCTCACATTAACGGGTTTGAAATTATCTGTAAGTGTTCAGGTGAGTGTTGCAAAAGCCTCTGCAGACAGCTCAGGGGAGAGTCCTCCTCTGTGAACGGCAGAAGACAAAAACCGGCCAGGCAAAGTAACTGACTCCCAAGCTGATCAAGGGGTGTTGACAGCACCGCAAATGCAAAGGCAGCAGCACCATTACAGGACGCAGCTGCCTGCCAGCACACCCAGAGTGGGAGAATGGCTTGATTCCCTTTCAGCAAAGGAGACAGATTAAAACAAGCCACCACCACCAATAACAAAACAAAAAAAAAAACCCAAGGGTGCAAGCAATGGGGAGATGACGGGAGGCATAAAAGACGGTGCTAAGAGTGGTGTAAAAAATTATGGGCCACTTCTAGCACTGGAGCAAATGTCCACTGCTGGCATCCAAGGTGCAATTAGTCTAAGAATCATTGAACAGAGGAAAGCAAGACGAAATCAGCATGAAATATTATCCCACTCAAAACATATCCAGACCAGAGAGCAGCCCAGGAATGTATGCTGGAGTTGTACTAGTTGTCTTTAGAAGGCTGCCTAATCTTGTGATTATTTACATTTGCAGCTCTGCCTGCTCAGATAATAAGAGCAGTCAGAGTACCAGTCAATTGCTGGAGAAACTGGGGAGGAATTTTAATCCCAGACACTCTGTTCCCGCATTGCACAGTTGGCGAGGTACATCACTGTACCTGATCATCACTGAGCTGAGCCAGCTCAGCTCTCCCGACATTGTCAGTGCCAGGGTATTAGATTAGATACACCAGTGATCTGATGCACGATGACAAATCTCATGTTGCACAACTCACCCAAATTGCGTGGATTTCTGGTATAAATATACACCTTGACATCTGTTACACTGCTTAGGAAGCTTGATTGCCTTTCTGCTCAATCTAGCACAAAAGGCAGTAGCTGGCAGCCTTCCTCCTTTCCACTCCCTCTCAGGCTTTTCATGTGGACAAGGCTAGTCAGGGACCAACAGGGCCAATCTATAGGGTGAGGGACCTCCAGCCAGCTTCTTCCCAGAGGCAAGCACAGGAGGCATGCTCCTCAGCAGAGGTTTATAAGAACCCAAGATGCTTCATCTGGTCCCTTAGGCTAATCCCAGTGTCAGAATTTGGGCAACAGAGCCAGATCTACCTGGAGTGAAGTCCAGGGGAAGAGG